CAGCACAAAAGGGGCAATTTCAACTAATGTGGGACACATTCTAACACCCTCCTAGACCACAACATACAATAGCCGGACAAACGACACACCAATTCCAAGCCCAACCAAGCTCTAATACCAAATTGAAAAGCTCAGGCTACACTTCTCCTTAAAACCCAGATATTAAGGAGAGGGGAAACTGAAGCCTTATAACCAGCACAAAAGGGGCAATTTCAACTAATGTGGGACACATTCTAACACCCTCCTAGACCACAACATACAATAGCCGGACAAACGACACACCAATTCCAAGCCCAACCAAGCTCTAATACCAAATTGAAAAGCTCAGGCTACACTTCTCCTTAAAACCCAGATATTAAGGAGAGGGGAAACTGAAGCCTTATAACCAGCACAAAAGGGGCAATTTCAACTAATGTGGGACACATTCTAACACCCTCCTAGACCACAACATACAATAGCCGGACAAACGACACACCAATTCCAAGCCCAACCAAGCTCTAATACCAAATTGAAAAGCTCAGGCTACACTTCTCCTTAAAACCCAGATATTAAGGAGAGGGGAAACTGAAGCCTTATAACCAGCACAAAAGGGGCAATTTCAACTAATGTGGGACACATTCTAACACCCTCCTAGACCACAACATACAATAGCCGGACAAACGACACACCAATTCCAAGCCCAACCAAGCTCTAATACCAAATTGAAAAGCTCAGGCTACACTTCTCCTTAAAACCCAGATATTAAGGAGAGGGGAAACTGAAGCCTTATAACCAGCACAAAAGGGGCAATTTCAACTAATGTGGGACACATTCTAACACCCTCCTAGACCACAACATACAATAGCCGGACAAACGACACACCAATTCCAAGCCCAACCAAGCTCTAATACCAAATTGAAAAGCTCAGGCTACACTTCTCCTTAAAACCCAGATATTAAGGAGAGGGGAAACTGAAGCCTTATAACCAGCACAAAAGGGGCAATTTCAACTAATGTGGGACACATTCTAACACCCTCCTAGACCACAACATACAATAGCCGGACAAACGACACACCAATTCCAAGCCCAACCAAGCTCTAATACCAAATTGAAAAGCTCAGGCTACACTTCTCCTTAAAACCCAGATATTAAGGAGAGGGGAAACTGAAGCCTTATAACCAGCACAAAAGGGGCAATTTCAACTAATGTGGGACACATTCTAACACCCTCCTAGACCACAACATACAATAGCCGGACAAACGACACACCAATTCCAAGCCCAACCAAGCTCTAATACCAAATTGAAAAGCTCAGGCTACACTTCTCCTTAAAACCCAGATATTAAGGAGAGGGGAAACTGAAGCCTTATAACCAGCACAAAAGGGGCAATTTCAACTAATGTGGGACACATTCTAACACCCTCCTAGACCACAACATACAATAGCCGGACAAACGACACACCAATTCCAAGCCCAACCAAGCTCTAATACCAAATTGAAAAGCTCAGGCTACACTTCTCCTTAAAACCCAGATATTAAGGAGAGGGGAAACTGAAGCCTTATAACCAGCACAAAAGGGGCAATTTCAACTAATGTGGGACACATTCTAACACCCTCCTAGACCACAACATACAATAGCCGGACAAACGACACACCAATTCCAAGCCCAACCAAGCTCTAATACCAAATTGAAAAGCTCAGGCTACACTTCTCCTTAAAACCCAGATATTAAGGAGAGGGGAAACTGAAGCCTTATAACCAGCACAAAAGGGGCAATTTCAACTAATGTGGGACACATTCTAACACCCTCCTAGACCACAACATACAATAGCCGGACAAACGACACACCAATTCCAAGCCCAACCAAGCTCTAATACCAAATTGAAAAGCTCAGGCTACACTTCTCCTTAAAACCCAGATATTAAGGAGAGGGGAAACTGAAGCCTTATAACCAGCACAGATGGGCCAACTTCAAGCGATGTGGGATACATTCCAACAGAAGTGAGGGTTATGTAACTCATGTTTGAGAGTTTCTCATTAGTAAACAACTTTAAAATCATTGAATGAGAATAATGATTTGTGTGCATTGGAAACTAGAGCCTCAAGCTCAACTTTGATGAAAATGAAATAAGGGATAAGATTTTGATAAAATGTGAGTTGTGAACTTCAATTGACTAATAATTGTTGAATAACATTGGATAAACTATTTTCGTATTATGCTATGTATCGCATCATGATCACAAGTTGAGCATGCTAGTTTCATATTTTACTGAGCTTTATGCTCACCCCATCGTTAATAAACATGCTAGATGCTAGTGGTGATTTGAAGCCGTGAGGTAGCTTGGAATCTTCTTTTGTGGATTGTGTGAGGCCATTAAGCCATTTTTGTGCAAGGCCTTGTGCCATTAATTGTGATGTAAAGGCACAATGCCAATTATTTGTTGAGAGCCAAGGGCCTCTTTTGTTGTAGGCCCTTGAGGGCGTAACTTGTTAATATTATGGATTGAACTCATATGCTGTAATTCATTCAACATAGAATGAGAAGCCAATTTATGTTATTAGATTACATGACAATGAATGGGAAATGAACCTTGGAATTGCATGGTTGATTTTCATTGAGAATTGATAAGATGTATCATTTACTTATGCTTAAATATTCATGTTATTGCCATTGGATTGAGGATCGGTGTGACCCATTCTTGAATCTTGAATAAGGGGAAGGCTGCCCAGTTCTTTTAGACTTGCCTGGTGACTGAAACCGCTTAAGCAGTAGACCATTTCTTTGACTCACCTTGTTGACTTTCAGCCTTGATCTTTGACTCAGTCAACCTCTTGGTGATTTCATATATTTCTCACTTATCATTCCTTGACCCATCCCTATCCCTTTACCTCTTATCACGGTCTTGGGTTACAGAATTCAAGGTGTGAAACAAATAATCTCAGCAGTGGCATGAACCATAGCACGATACTCAACCTCGACAATAGAACAAGCAATAATAGACTGCTTCTTGTTTTCCCAAGGGATAAAAAATCACCAAGGAAAACACAAAAATCAGCAGTGGACTTGTGATCAAATACATCACTAGCCCAATTAGAATCGACATAGGCTCAAAGAGTGAAAGAGAATGCAAAAGAGAACAACAAACTCCGAAATATACCACGAATATAACACGGGGTGGATAACAAAGCAATCAAATGAATAGTACAAAGTGCAGCAACAAACTGGCTCGCCACATGAATAGTACATACAATACTAGGTTGAGTAACGATAAGATAAACCAAGCAACCAACCAAGTCATGACACAAAGTAGAAGAACACCATCTGTAGTAGAAAACTAGGCATGTAGCTCAATAGGAGTATCAACTCTTTAGTATCTGTGAATCTAGCACACTGAATGATCTCATTTGCATGCTTAGATTATGATAAGAGATAATAACCCTTGATGGAAGAAGCTACCTCAATGCCCAAAAAATAATGCAGCAGACTTAAACTCCCAAACATGTCTTTTATCTTCAGTAATAGCAGCAAAATCATAATCAGTGATCATCATATCAACCACCTACAACAAAAGAATAACTATCCAAAAAGCAGTATAACATACAAAAGGACAAAATCATGAGCACTCAGATGAAAACCAATCTGAGTAACAGCCAACTGAAAACACTCATACCATGCACAAGGAGATTGTTTCAAACCATAGAGCACAACACAATGACAGACATAGCCATTGGGATGAGAAAGACTTAGGGAAGGACACAAACTTATTCACTAAGATGCTTATTAAAGGTATTCTTGACATCCAACTAAAAAATTAACCATTGACAAACTGTAGAAACAGAAATCAAAGTATGAACGGTGGTCATCTAACCTACAAGAAAAAAAAGTCTCATCGTAATCAATCACACACTCATGAGAAAAACCCTTTGCAACTAGTTTGGCCTTATAATGCTCAAGAGAACCGTTATAGTGGGTTTAAACTTTGTAAACCCAATTACACCCAGTAAGGTTCTTTCCTTCTTTAGAGATAGAAAGATAATTGGTTGCGATTGACTTGATGGCCCTGTTTGGTAGGGCTTATTTCCAGCTTATTTCAGCTTCAAACTTAATTTAAGCTATTTTGATGTGTTTGGTTTAGCTTAACAACACAGCTTAGAGCTTTTTGTAAGTCAAAAATCAACTTATTCTTTGAGTGGAGGAGAAGAAACTTAATTTATAAGTCAAAAATCAGCTTATGTTCACAGTTCTAAGCTATAAGCTGTTAAGGTATAAGCTATAATCACTTTCTCACAGCTCTACCAAACGGGGCCGATGACAAAGATTGCAATTTCAATTCCAAGAACTAATGTGAGAGACTACAATGTCACCCAAGAACAAAGGAGGTTGCTCCAATGTCACTCGAAAATAGAGGGGCTTACATAGACGTTGTCCGAGGGCAAGACACCTAAGAACGAAGGGGCAAAGATGACTAAGAACAAAGTTCACTGTGATGTTGTCTTAGCTAAGAATGAGGGGGATGTGACGAATAAAAAGAGAATCCCGACTTCTACAAAATACGAGAAGAGAAAAACTACAATTAATCCTAGATACTAAAATAATACCATTATGATAAATACAAACTATACAAAATATCCAAAATACATTTCACAACACCACCAATTTGACGGGGAGTGTTACATGTTAAGGTGCTAATTAGTCTGCATTTTTTTTACTTTGAACCATATAAGTATAAACACATAAGAACAAGGAAGAGGACCCTAATTCTAGCTTCTTTGTTTAACTTATTGTTGCATTGTCTCGCTGTTTCTCTTCTCTCCTCCGCCTCCTCCTCCTTCTTTCTCTTATTGTTAATTTTACAACAACCGAAGCTTTTGTCTTTGCACCAAGCAACAACTGACCTTTTTAACAATGCTACCTGTTACAGTTGCTTAAACAGCCACAAACATTGACTTCCAAATAAGTGCCAGTCACACATTAAGTGTTATGTAAAATTAAGAAGAGATTCTACAAAGGAGATATGTATATAAAACACCCAATTTATATTACCTCAATTCATGAATGAGAAAAGAATGTTTCAAGGGAAGAAGCTGCTCAGTCAAGCTAGTTTCTCTCGTGGACATAATGATATCCATTTCCACAAGATCATATCTAATGCAGGAAAGCTGAAAGGGAGGGCAACACATAGATCATAAAATAAGAAACTATACATAAAGAACTATCTCTAAATAAATGTAACAAAGAAAAGAAAAGACCAAGTATCACTTCCACAGCATGAGGTTTAACTATCTAGTACATTATATGATACAGTTACTAAGAAAATGGCATAGGTTCCACAAAATAGCATAAGCAAAGCTACAAATATTACAACTTGCAGTATAGATTTCCTCATTTTTATTTTTATTTTTAATATGATCAACAACAACAACAACCAAAAATATATATATATTAATAAAAAAGAAAAGAAAAATATAAAGAAGGGAACAAGTTATCCACCAAACAAAAAGAAAATATATTACAAGAATCATCACTAGTTACATACAACTCTCCAAACCCTAGAAATAAAAAATAAAGAAATCTCTTTTAAAAGGAGATACTGGAGCCTAAAAATAAGCCACATAACAAATTTTCTCCCAAATACCCATAAGTCTTCACACTTATCTTCAAAAGCATTCCTTTCTAACCAAATATCAAACAACCACACATACTACACAACTCCAAAGAGCCCTTGCTCTGTGATTCGATCCAACACTTCTAAAATCAAGTGCAAAGCATTTGAACACTAGAAGAAGGTATCACCAACTCCAACTCCCCCAGCTGAAACACCCTCCACCATAATATTAATGGCGTGGCAAAAACAAATGGTCAATGTTCTCCATGCAAACACTATTGACGGAGTAAAGAACGATTAGACCTATTCTTTTGAAACATATCTTGGTATTAAGCTTCTTAGGAAACATAGTCCATGCAAACACTTTAACCTTCAAGGGCATATATGCACTCCAAAGATTAGAACAATAGAATCATCAATAATTTTATCAAAAACTCAATTGCAAGAGAAACTGTATGTCCGATGAATTTATTTTCTTAAGATTAAGTAATTAATTTGCATTAATTGTCCATATATCTCACTAATTAAAAATTATTTAGCAATTGTACTTGACTCAATTAATTTAGTATGGTACTTGATCATATTTATTTAAAATTAAATTGAATTGAAATGAATGAATCAATTAATAACTGAGAAACAGAGCTCCCTCAAAATTCTGAGCCTTGTATCGAGAGAAACAGAGCTCCATTTCTCAATCATGACTTCACACAAATCAGCCCACTAAGCCAACAATTGTTTAATAACTGCTCCGTGACTACTTTTAACAATTCATACACTTAAACAATTCTTTCCTGCCTTGTTTCTCTTTGATCAAATGAAAGACTTTGACTTTATTGCCATGTCTCATCATTCAATTGATCCACCCGTCGATAGGAAATTTACGAAAATGGGTGCAAACAATGCCCCCCCAACTCTTTAAGAATGAGAAGACTCAAATTCTTGAAGAGTTGTATATAAAATTGATTTGTCAAAAAACCATCACCAAAATAAATCTTTTTTACTAACCAAAAAAAAAAAATGATTATTATAAGCACATGTTAATAAAATAGCAACCAAAGGCCATATTATAAATATGTTGTGCATCCTTCACAAATGTAGTCCATGTAGGCCATGTATGAGTTTTTAAATTGGTACTAGATTACTTCAATCGACAGTGTATTTACACAATTGACAGAGCAATGCATGAACCAAGTGTGAAACCAAGGGTTGGCCTATTATTTGGAGTACAATAATCTTCCCATGTTGGCATTGGTAAATACTCTAAGCATTAAAGCAAACATTTGGAATTTCAGTTTGTTTTATTTTCTAGCACTGTGAAAATGGCCAATCAAGAAATCATAATTCGCAATATATCTCTATGACTTTTTGGACTTTGTTCTCTTGCTAGCCATTTCATAAAAAACAAGCTTTGATGTGATCCACAAATCAAAAAAGGACCATGAATAATAAAAGCCATAGCATAAGGTGGTCTTAAAAACTCATACTTTACATCTTGAACAATGTCAAAGATTTCAAAGTCATGAACATTTGATTGTTAATAATTTTCAGCCATGGTTGGCTTAAGATCACACTTTTTAACCAAATTGTTTGCATTACTCTCTGTACTAAGAGTTGCAACAAAGGGCTGATTTTTTGTTTCACACATTAATGGGTTAGAAATATTTTTTGAAAACCCAAAAAATATTTCTTCCTTGTGAAATTGCCCCCTAGCCATGAAATTTTGGTTCTCATGGCCGTCTGTTTTTGCTACCATGACAATTGATGGAGTAACAACACCAACATTTGAAGGTGTCTTGTGGACCTCCACCCTTGTCTGACACTGCCCTCTAGAAAAATCATCAATAACACTTCTTAACTCACCAACAACACTTCTTAACTCACCAACCAGCACCTGTTTTTCCTCAACTGAAAGAGATGCAAGAGCCTCCTTTAATTGTGAAACCAAACTGCTACTAGGCTGTACAGAAGGGCCACTCGTTTGGCTTTGATGCCTCGTCTTTTCCATTGTTCCAAATTAGGATGTAGTCCTACTAGGCATGCCAAAAATTGTTAGTAAAAATTATGATAAGTCTTGATCGACAGAGACTTAACAGCAATTTTAACCAAACAACCAAACAGAAAATCAGACGACTATGTAAAGGTTCTAATGCCTTGAAAGTACAAGGACTTCTTTGGAACAATTAACAATCAAAAGAGTGAAGTAAACATGGAAAAACCTCTATTGAAATCTTCTAAGTTTACAAAGTTACAAACTGTTGAAAGCTACTCCTAAAAATTAGGACAATCTACTCATAAGAATTAAGGTAGACTACTCCTAAAAATAAAGAGACAAAAAACTATGATAAGTTTGATGATTTGTTGATCTCCTTTTTCTGCTTGCATCTCTTTGTCTATTTATAATCGACGCCCAAAGCTTCTTTAGGCAAGAATTGCTAGGCAATTTCTCCTCCAATTTAGCCACGTTTGCCACTTCAAATCATGCAGGCTCCACTACTCCTCTTTGGAACCAACATTCCATCACGCTTTTTTTTTTTTTGGGTGAATCATCACGTTGTTATTTTCCTTAATTCATATCATGATCAACTAATTAATTACATTCTGCACTAAACAAAAAATAACAATAATAATAAATATAAATATAATGTGGCCATAACTTTATATTAAAAATAATTTATAGTTTAAATCGACAGACCAAAATCGACTGGCCACAATCAATAAGATTAAATTTGGCCATGATTGATAGGCCACAATCAACAAAAAATAATTTATGGTGAAAACAATGCCCCCTTAACTCTTTAAGAATGAGAAATCTTGAATTCTTGAAAAGTTGTATATAAAATTTATTTGGCCTTGACTTTTTCACCAAACAGACATATGTAAAATATATGTTGTGAGACATATATGAGCTACTTTTCACTATTCAAGCAATGTTGGATCTTTAACCAAACCAAACCAAGCCTTAAGTCCCATAAAATGGGGTCGGCCACATCAATCCTTCTTCTTCACGCAGCCCTATCAAAGGCCATTTCGTTAGTCAAATTAAGTAAATCCATATCTCTATTTACAACGCTAGCCAACGTTAATCTAGGCCTACCCCGTCCCCTAACACTCTCATCTACCGTTACAGCATCGCATCTCTTTACTACTGCCTCTGTTGGTCTCCGTTGAATGTGACCAAACCATCTCAATCGATTCTCTCTCAACTTATTTTCTATCAGTGCTACTCCCACCCATTCCCGAATACACTCATTCCTAATTATGTCTTGCCTAGTCTTGCCACACATCCACCTTAGCATCCTCATCTCAGCCACACCCATCTTATCTACATGTTATTTCTTGGTTGCCCAACACTCCGCCCCATACATCGCTAGTCTAATAGCCGTTCTATAGAACTTACCTTTTAGTCTAGTAGGCATTCGTTTATCGCACAGTACCCCAGACACACTTCTCCATTTACACCATCCTGCTTTAATTCTATAGGTCATATCCGCATCAATCTCCCCCGCTGTTGTGATGATCTACCCTAAATAACGAAAATGTTCACTCTTAGGCAATTCTTGGTTCTCAATCTTCACTTCTCCTCTGCTTTCATTATTACTGTTACTAAATTTACACTCCACGTACTCTGTCTTAGTTCTACTTATCCAGAATCCTTTAGATTCAAGAGCTTTTCTCCAAATCTCCAACTTTGTGTTAACTCCTTCTCTAGTCTCATCCACTAGCACTATATCATCTGCAAAAAGCATACACCATGGCACGTCATCCTGAATATTTCTCGTCAACTCATCCATAACTAAAGCAAAAAAAAAGGACTTAAGGTAGATCCTTGGTGTAACCCTATAGTGATAGGAAAATCATTTGTCTCTCCAGCAGGCGATCTAATAGTGGTCACCACCCCTTCATACATGTCCCTAATCACATCAATGTAACCTTTTATCACCTCTTTCTTCTCTTACACCCACCATATTATATCCTAGAGCACTTTATCATATGTTTTCTCAAGGTCAATAAACACTATATGAATGTCTCTTTTCTTTTCTCGATACTTTTCTATTACTCTCCTCAAAAGATAAATCGCTTCCATTGACCTGCTAAGCATAAACCCAAATTAATTCTCTGACACCTCTGTTATATCTCGCAATCAGCGTTCCATCACCCTCTCCCACACTTTCATTATATGACACAGTAGCTTGATTCCTCTATAGTTGTTGCAATTCTGGACATCTCCTTTATTCTTATAGATTGACACTAAAATACTCTTCCTCCACTCATCTGGCATGTTCCTAGTCAACAAAATTTTGCTAAACAACCTAGTTAACCAAGCAACCCCCTTTTTACCCAACCCCTTTTAACCAATTCACCAAAATTAAGTTTTGATGTGATCCACAGACCTAAAATGGGTGTTGAATGTCATAATTCATAGTTTTGCATGGCTCAAAATTTCTGAAAAATTCAACATTTTGAACAATGTCAAAAATATTAAAATCATCATGAATTGATTGTTCATTTTTAGCCACAGTTGGCTCAAAATCAAACTTTTTTACCACATTGTTT